CCAAAAGTATTATTTTTTCTTAGAAAAACCAAAACTCAAAGGCATGGACGAAGGGGTATGTGTAGTAACTGTACTGTTACATATTCTCATCTCTCTCTCTCTCTCCGTTTCTCCACTGGTTTGTTTGAGCTGTTTTTGTGGTGTGGGTGTTTTTTTAAGCCTATCACAGGAGTGTGTGTCCATGGCGCTCAGGAGCATTCAAAATTCCAGAATTCAGTATCTCAAAAGTTGGCAAGCCTGGGTATGTTTGTGTGATGAAACATCAAATGGATGTGCCTGCATCTAATACCGTGTGCCCATTGCATTGGCAGGATATGGTCGGGTCATGTCTGTTTGCTAGCCTGATTGAGGGCGCAAAGTGGCTATCGTGGCACAAACCTATCTCCCGAGTTGTCGCCCCAAAAACAAACGAGTTTGTTTTCAGGCGACAAGTCAGGCGATTGACCCTTCCTGACCCAATCGCATTCCATCCACAATGTGCTCATGGTATTAACAATAAAGACTTGGGTAATTAAAATATCGTATCTTATTGCATCTTTGTTGAACAGAGGAGGGTATGGACATAGACATACCAGACGGTGTGAAGGAAGAGACCGTAGGGGGTCCCTCTCAACATGTCAACCCGGCACAACGCAAGGTCAAATCCGAGGAAATCCCGACTGTGATGAGTGTCCTGGACAGTGCCCCCAACTCTGGTAGGCTTGTGTCTCACTGTGTGTCGTTCTCTTCTGTTCATAGCGACTGTGTCACTGTGTGTCATTTTCTTCTGATCTTGAGATCAACTGTGTCACTGTGTGTCGTTCCCTTCTGTTCTTAGCAACTGTGTCACTGTGTGTCGTTCTCTTCTGTTCTTAGCAACTGTGTCACTGTGTGTCATTTTCTTCTGATCTTGAGATCAACTGTGTCACTGTGTGTCGTTTTCTTCTGATCATAGCAACTGTGTCACTGTGTCATTTTCTTCTGATCTTGAGATCAACTGTGTCACTGTGTGTCATTTTCTTCTGATCTTGTCTCCTCTGTCTATGTGATCAACTGTGTCTCAATCTCCTCTGTCTATGTGATCAACTGTGTCTCAATCTCCTCTGTCTATGTGATCAACTGTGTCTCAATCTCCTCTATGTGATCAACTGTCAGAATGCTGGTTATGTAGCTATTAAAATTAATACATGATTATAGTTAACAATTGTTCATTTATTATCTATTATCTATTTGTGGTGGCCGAATGTTGCTATTCAAAAGGTTTTTTAATGGCTGCATCGATCGACATGCGGTTTTCGACCAAAAATTCTTTAAAATATTATCCAGATCATGGCGCCCTTGGTTTTTTCAGTTTTGAGACAGTTTTGCTGCAAAAAGCTAAATTTCTTTATTTCGCCGATCGCTTTTGTAGGCCTACGCTTCTGTCTCTGTAATTTTAGAAAATCCGGAAGTGATATTTCGCGAGGCGCATTTTGTTTTGAGAGTATAGATCTAGACCTAATTTTTTGCATCTCTCAAGATTTATAGCCCCATTCCAGTAGAGTGTAAATATAGTAGGCCAATGACTTTTAGTTGATATTAAAGCACCAATCATTCCTTTCATTGAAAGGGGGCCCAGCTAGTTATGATATATATTTGTGTGACTGTCTGTCTGTTTATGAGTGTAAACATATTATATTATGTGTATTAACATTATTGTTGGTTTTGTTAAATGTTGCTTTATGCATGGTCGAGAAAATGAAAGTTCGGTTTCAGAACTTTGGAACACATCACATTTTTTTCTTGGGATCCTTCCACCCTTCTTTTCGGGGGAGTTATACTGATAGATCATGTATAATGGTAGTGTTGAATTCTGTCCCTCTGTCAAAATAGTATCTTTTTGCTAAGGCATATTTTTAGTATTTTGCCGTCTTGATCAATGTAACGTAATGTTAAGAAAGGGGGAGTGGGAAGAGAATGAGAGAAAGGGGGTGAAAGATTAACAGCAATTTGAACAATATTCTTTGTATTACTGTTAAGTGTATTGAGCACTTTTTAAAACTTGAAATGTACTATATAATAATATGTGTAATTTTGATTTATGTTATTGTTATGACTTTCCAGAAAAAGGCGAGCTTGTGTTTATCCAGTTCCCAGACACACTCCCTGGAATCCCCGTGTTGTCTGACGACCGGCCCAAGACGTCCACCGGCACTAGCAAAGAGGATGAGGTAATGTTGTCTGGCGTTACTTTTATCTCACTGAGGATGAGCTTCCGAGGCATTATGCTGTACTTGGTCGTCTTGGGCAGTTTAGGTAAACAGATAAAAATGAAGAAAAAAGGCAGTCCCTTTTGAGGCCCCAACTGGGGGTAGTTGCAGACTTAGGACTGTTGTAAGACCCATTAAGATTGATTTTTCTGTTTGTTTGGATGGGGTTTATTTTTTCTTTTGGGAAAGGGGGGGGGGGGTATTGGGTCTTTCATCGGGCAATCAATGAGAGATTTGTGTGGTCATCCTGGACAGGTTTTTAGGGCTGTTTGGTCAATCAAATGCAACGTTTGCATTAGACAGGTGATTTGCTTGGACAGTACCATTATATCTAAGACAAAATACAACAGATAGAGTGGGAAGTGGTTCTTGTCTTGGTCAGGTGGTCACTAGAGCAGGTTCAACTGTTCCTGTCTCAGGATTGCAGCGTCTTGTTGCTGTGTGTCTGGCTGGGATGTAGTAGCTTACATACTCCTCATCAGTTTGAGTGCTGCGAGAGAAGATGCTGACATATGTACCGTGTAAGCCTTGTCTGTATTCCATATGTGCCTGTGTCTTTGTTTTCCAGCTGTCAAAGTCTTTGTTATCCCCCGGGGCAGTGCCACTGACTGAAGTGTCTTTAGGCCATTCCCAAAGGGGGGACATTTCTCGTTCAAGCAAAGTAGAATTGTAAATGGGCTGACTCATGTCAAGCTCATAACTGTACCTGATCTACAACAGGGAACTGCTGCTTTTTCTTTCCTCATCCTTACTATTGTCATTTTCCTCTACTTCTTTTGTATGTTTGTCACTCTCTTGTGACCTGCTATTTCCGGGGTGCATTGATAGTCGAAGCAGACTTTGTGCTGTTGAAGCTAGAGAGGTGAGCAGAGTAAGTCTGATTCCCTGTAAAGACTTCTTTGTTGACACCCACCCCTTGGCACTCATATGACCTCATGCAGTTGCGAGCGCCGTAAAACCCTCTACTATAAGAAAAAAAAGTCTTTGTCAAAATAAATTTACTCGTCATCAGTTTGAGTACTGTGAGAGAAGATGCTGACATATGTATAAATAAGCCTTTGTGTGTATTCCATATGTGCCTGTGTCTTTGTTTTCTAGCTGTCAGAGTCTTTGTCAAAATAAATTCATGTTTTTGATAGCAAGTTGTCAAAGTCTTTGTTGAAATAGAAGTGTTTTTATTTGTTTCTAGTTGTCAAAGTCTTTGTCAGAATAAATTTGTGCTTTTATTAACAAGTTGTTAAAGTCTTTGCGACTTTGCCGGTGTCGATTAAAAAGTTTGCATTTTTGTTGTTTAACTTTTGAAATGATATAACTTGTTTGTCAGAATAGATAATTATTGTTGTTATCTAGTTGTCAAAGTCTTTGTTGAAATAGATTATTGTTTTTGTTGTTATCTAGTCGTCAAAGTCTTTGTTAAAAAATGAATTTATGTTTTTATTAACAAGTTGTTAAGTCTTACCGACTTTGACTTTGTCGGTTGTTTATCAACTTTTGAAATGATATAACTTCTTTGTCAGAATAGAGAAAATTATTGTTGTTTCCCCCCCCCCCCCCCAGCTGTCCCAGCGACTAGGCCTGTGCCAGCTCAAGGACTGCAGCGAGGGTTACGTCGGGAAATTGAGGATCCGCAAGTCGGGCAAGGCCGAGCTGGTTCTGGAGCATAACACCATGGAGGTTTTGGCTGGGCTCCCCGCGAACTTCCACCAGGTCGGTGCAGCGTCGGTGGGGTGCTGTTTGTGTTTGGTTGATGGCATATTGGCAATGTTCTTGCTTTCTGTCTGTCTGTCTCTCTCGCTGTTTCTCTTTTTCTCTCTCTTTCTCTCTCTCTCTCTCTCTCTCTCTCTCTCTCTCTCTCTCTCTCTCTCTCTCTCTCTCTCTCTCTCCTTCTCTCTCTCACTCCTTCTTTCCTATCGAACACCTATCGTCTTTGTCTCCCCTTCTTCTTTTTTATGTTTGTTACTCTCTTGTAACACCTCTAATCTACTGGCGCTCATATAACCTTATGCAGTTGCGATCGCCGTAGTACCTCTACTAGAACTTTTAAAAACATCTATCGTCCTCATCTCCCCTCCTTTTTTGTGTATGTTACTCTCTTGCAACACCTCTATTCTTCGGCACTTATATGACCTTTTTGTGTTGCAAGTGCCGCAAAACTCTTACTAAAACTGTCTTGTTGTGTTGGTCCCCAGGAGCTGGTCTCCATCCACACAGATTCGAACCCGGGCCAGATGGTGGCGCTGGGTCAGGTGAGCCAAAAGCTCATCGTTGCTCCGGATTACAACTCCTTGTTACAGGAGACGGAGCGCTTTTGACAGAGATGTTGTTATGTGTGTATGTGCGTGTGTGTGATTGGGCGCTTCTGACTGGGATGTTGTTGTGTGTGTGTGTGTGTGTGGAGCGCTTCTGAGTGTCATGTTGTTGAATTGTGTGTGTTGCTGAAGAAAGTTTGCGAGTGTGTGCGTCCATGCAATAGGCTTCGCTCCCAATGATTCCTGTCTGCCATGTGGCACAAGTCCTGACGACCTGCAGCACACAGTGTATGAGTGCCCGCACGGGGATGCACATTGAGGCCCGCTCATGGAGAGCAACGCGAGACCAGACGTGGATGTACTCTGGACGAGGCCTGCACGAGGTTGCCTCTTATCTGTCTGTTTGTAGCAGACTGCGGCCCTCCTAACGGAGGCCAGCCAGAGGAAGGAAGGAAGGAAGGAGTGTATGTGTGTGATTGGTGGGCGCTCTGGTGTGGTTTGCTCCTTCTTTCCTATCAAACATCTATGGTCCTTATCTCTCCTCCTTTTCTTTGTTCCGTATGTTATAAAGCCCACTGATCACTTTTAGTGGAAGTGCTCCATGTAAGTGAAATTTGTTATTATTTATTATTATTATTGTCTAGTAACACCTCTGATCTTTGACATCACCTATGTGACCTATCTGTGTTGCAAGTGCTGTAAAACTGTGAAACTGTAAAACTATGAAACTGTAAAACTGTGAAACTGTAAAACTGTGAAACTGTAAAACTCCTACCAAAACTTTGACAGTCATGTTGTCGAAAAAATGTGTGGCTGAAGAAAGTTTGAGAATGTGTGCATGTTTGTGAGCGTGAGAGTTGATTGTAATTTTATACCTGCGTGTTGGTATATATATAATATATATATATATATATATATGCAGTGTCCGGTGTTTTAGTTTTAACATCTAACTCAAAATATTCCACAGGAATTTGAGTGATTTAAGTGGTCTAGTCCTTTTGATTTTCCAGTAATAAAAGTATCTGTGCCATTGATATATATGGCTTACTCTCAGAGGTGGACATTAGAGAGCAGGTCTTGGGCCACAGGGTGAACTGTTGCCGTTTCTATCTCCCATTTGCCAGTTGTAGGTTTTACTTCTTGTGTCATGTAGTGACTCACACACGCCATCTCTGACTGGTTATAATAGTGGTTAAGCTCTCAGACTCGCGATCGTAAGGTCGTTGGTTTGTATCCCATCAGGGGCCCCATGTTGTATCCTTGGGAAAGACACTTTACACAAATTTTCCTCTCTTTACCCAGGTGGGAATGGGTACCCAACTATAGACTGCGAAAGATTTTGTCAGTTTGTTAGTGTTTGAGCGCTTAATTAGCTGCTTGCACTGTATGCTTCCCGGAAAGCTGAGAATGTTTCTGTGTGTTCTATGGTCTGCTTGGGTAATGATATAGTGTAGAGCGCATAGAGCTTGCTGTAGAGCCGGGATATGCGCTATACAAATGCTATTTATTATTATTATAAACGTGCAGATTTAGCGAATAAATCGGGAATTTACGAAGCTGTTTGGATTTTGCACTGTAAATAAAAAGTCTTGATTCAAGATGTTATAGGCAATATCCGTAAATTTGGAGCCCCCCTGCACGCATTTCGGTTGGGTCAGAAAAGTTCAAGACTTTTCATAGCCAGTGGTGCCTCTGAATATAGAACCCTTTTTGGGACTGGGTAGTCTCGAGAAAAGTCCTTTCCTCTCAGACAAAGGGATATGGTTCACGACGGGTGTGTGGGGGATCGCTCTGAGGTTTTCTCTGAGCATTTTACCCCCCACCCATCCTAAACAGAAAAGTGGGAAGACATGGAATGATGTCAGGAGGCAATTTCAGGACAGGGAGGGGTGGAAAGTGTTTGTTCGTGGCCTATACCCTCCCTGATCCAGGGTGAGAAAGGCAATGATGATGACCCACCCATGGCATGTGGAATCTCCAGGTCAAATGCGCAAACTTTTCAGATGCAGATGAAACATTTTTTTTGAGATCCCTTGTGCCATATATAACGATATATTGACAGTTGGTCAATAGAGGTGTCTTGTGAGCTTTGTGTTGTTTTGTTCTGTCCTGTCGTTGCTTGAGCATCATGGAGGCTTCTATTAACCCTATCTGTACGCCCTGGGGTCATTTTGTACCCCCGGGGTTGTATTCTTCTCATTTTAGAATACTTCTAGAGCGAAGATCTCTTTGAAGCTTTCAGTATTTCTCAAAAAATCATTTTGACTGATTGCTATGCAAAGCGTAGGGATCGCATAAATGAGTAAATTTCCTCTTCGGAAAGTGGTGGCACGGAGTTCCCCACGTCGTATGGATACGATAGTAAAACATGATGTACAGATAGGGTTAAAGTGTGTAACTGCATACATAAGGCAAACTCTGATGACAGAATTTTTATTATTTTGCTTTACAGCTTGATTTTAACAACCGGGTGTTTGGCAGACACTCTAGTCGTGTGGTGTGCTTCTTCTTTCCTTCCAAACATCTATGGTCCTTTTCTCCCCTCCTTCCTTTCTTTGTGTGTTACTCTTTAGTAACTCTGGCACATATAATAATATAACCTATTTGTGTTGCAATTGTTTTAAAATTCTTACTAGTATTTAGTAGTAGATCTATTACTAGAGAACAAAAACTCTTTTTAATGAATTGAAAATTGATGCTACATTCCTGTGAGAATGATCAAAAGGTTGAGATTTTGAATTGTTTGCTGTGCGGTGCTTGACTGTATTATTGCTGAATGAAAAGAGATGTTGTGGATACATGTACAATAGAGGTGGGCAAAATCCGAATTAATATCCGGATAATCGGATAATCCTCAATATGTAGCCTACATTATCTGAATTCAGACTCCTAAGTCTCTCTCCTGACCAGTTTGGCGAATTGGGTGCACCCATTTGTTGGAGTGAGGCTAACTCGTTTGTCAAAGTGGTTTTAACCCATTTGCCGAACCGGTTCATAACATTATTTACTGAAGAGGTGCACTAACATATTATCCGGATTTTTCCTAAAGCGACTCATTGCCCAGCCCTAATGTACAAGTTCTGCTGTTGTGTGACAGATTTTGAGGAAAACACTTCGCTCCTTAGAATTACCAGAACAAAGTTCTGTCTGACATTTTGGCTGTTTTGAGCTGCTACAACCGTGAGGTCAGAAACCAAATGTGAGGCAGCGTGGTGGAATCAGGCTCTCGTCAAAATAATTAAAGTGAAGAAACTTGCATTTTTCCACAGGTTTGTGAATTTTTATCAAATTTTCGCTTTTTGGCTGAACACCATTCACGCCCGTTAAAGAACTCATTTCTGTGTGGATTTTTCTGAAAAACGTTCATTAAATTCACAAAAAATGTAAATTTTCAGTTACCATGGACTCTTAATCTAAGGAAATAACTAATCTTTGGCGGCCATTTTCTCACTAACTTTACCTCTGAAAACAGGTGACCCCCACCTCCTTTATTTGCAAATATCTCAACTTGTATACAAGATAAATGGATACTTTTTTCATGCAAATAAAGACAAGTGAACAAGCTTTAACAATAACTCTACATGCCTCAAAATTGACGAGAGCCTGATTCCACCACGCTGCCTGTCAAATATTCTATCTGCTCTATCATAATCGTAAGATTGTTCGGAGTCGCTATCAAAATATTCAAAAAATGTTGTGAAACTCAAAATTTTTAATGTCAAATTTCTCCCAACTAGGCACTGAGCAGATAGAGCTTGTGTAATTCTAGGCTAGCGACTTCTTCAGATTGCAGTGTTGTGAGCTCAAGTTTGAGCTGTACATTGGAAGAAAAATTGTTTACCATATGAAAAAGATTGTTGTAGAAGTGATTTTGTTGAGAGTTCTTGTAAGATTGTGTGATGTTTGGTACAGTTGTTGTTTTGTTTTTTTCACATGCAATTATTCCCTCTGCCCCCAGTTGAAATTGGAACTATATACGGGACTGTCGATGCTGTGTAAGATGTTTGTTTGTTTGTTTAGGGTTTTACGGCGCTCGCAACTGCATAAGGTCATATGAGTGCGCGGACACACCTAATACTTTTTCGTTGGTAGGAAATTTTGAATTTTGCCCGGGTGGCGGCCGAAGCCTACTCTTATCGATTTTAGACCACCAAGGGATCTTTAACCTGCGCAACTTGCACACGGGCCCTCTGAGATTTTTTGGCCCTTGTCCGAGAAGGCTAGGTGTAGATCTTTCCTACCAGAAGATCAGGGGTGTGGCTGAAAGACAGCAGTAAGGAGGAGCCAAGGAGTAGCAGTAGAAAGGCTGCAGAAAGAGTCAGGAGCCCAGAGGAGGCGGCAAAAGAGGTGAGGGGGTGGGGGCAGAAAGTGGAAATGAAAGCAGACAACAGAACATTGCTAGAGAGCAGAAAAGGAGGTGAAAGGAGAACATTTTAGAGAAGAAAATTTTTCGGTCGCTACCCGGATTCGAACCCGGGACCTTTGAATGAGAGGCCAACACCTTAACCTCTAGGCCACGAGAGCCCCCAGCCTCTGTTTGATAATGGCATGTGTCAGTCCTACTTATCCGTTGCCAGCAGTGCTTGCATTTCATGGGACCGCTGTTTGTCTTATTTCATGGGACCGCTGTTTGTTCTATTTCATGGGACCGCTGTTTGTTCTATTTCATGGGACCGCTGTTTGTTCTATTTCATGGGACCGCTGTTTGTTCTATTCATTCGTACCAACTGCAGTGAGGTTACTGAACACACAGTGCTACAAATGAAACAGAGAGAGAGAGAGAGAGAGAGAGAGAGGGGGAGAGAGAGAATGTTTTACGGAGCGGTTTGTTCCAGCACGTGAGACATGTTTTTACTAATGTCCTGTCCTATGCGTGAGTGCACCTAACCTTTGTAACGTCTACTGCCATTGTTAACGACCAAGACAAGTTAATTTCTCCTTTGTGATATGAATAAAGATTGTCATTGTCAAAAACAGAGATGTATGAAGTATGAACATCTCCTTTGCTTCCAGCCTTAGCCCCACCCATCAGTATAATAAACAGTCAACCAATGCCACCCCTCCCGTGCATATAACAACGATTCGAGGAACTATTTTATCAGCTGGTCATATAATCAGGCCAGCAGGCATTGGTGAAATGAAAACTAGTTTCACACCTCTGGCCTCTGGATACCCATGAAATTTTCCGTGCTAGCGTGCAACTCGAGCACTTTCCAAAGCACTGGTGAGATTTCACACTCACACACACACACACACACACACACACACACACACACACACACACACACATAGATGGGGTAACATCTACCCCTATATTGCATCCCTACTCCTCCTTCTTCGCGCGGCGGTGTGGCGTAAAGGTTAGAGCCGATGGAACCAAACTTGCTATTTTTGTCTCCTCTGGGCTCCTGACTCTTTCTGCAGCCGTTCTACTGCCACTCCTTGGCTCTTTGTTACTGCTGTCTTTCAGCCGCATCCCTGATCTTATGGTAAGGAAAATCTCTAAAACTAAAACCTAGTCTTCTCGAATAAGGGCAACAAAAAAACCCATCTCGGAGGTCCCGTTTGCAAGTTGCGCAAGTTAAAGATACATTGGTGGACCTAGAATCGATCAGAGTAGGTTCCAGCCGCCACCTGGGCAAAAATCAAAATTTCTACCAAATTGAGAATGTTTAACACAAAAAATAAATGTCCCACGCGCTCAGATGTCCGTATGAAGTTGTGAGGGCCGTAAAACAATTACCCCCCTCCCCCTTTAAAAAAACAACCCCAAAACAAAATAAAAAATAAAGAGATATAGGCAATTGGTGCAGTGTTTTCAGCAAAGCATGCAGCGCCCCCACGATCCAGACGAGGGTTAAAGGAGTCGTGATCTTAACCCTTTCCGTACGCCCTGAGGTCATTTTGTACTCCCGGGGTTGTATTCTTCACATTTTAGTTTAGAATACTTCTAGTACGAAGATCACTGTGAAACTTTCATTACAGAGTATTTTTCAAAAAATCATTTTGACAGACTGCTATGTAAAGCGTACGAAGGGAGGCTCTCGTTTCCTAGAGGTTAAGGTGTTCGCCTCTCATTCAAAGGTCCCGGGTTCGAATCCGGGTGGCAACCGAAAAATTTTCTCCTCTAAAATTGTCTCATTTCACCTCCTTTCCTGTCCTGCTCTCTAGCAATGTTCTGTCGCCTGCTTTTGTCTCCTCTTTCTGCCCCCACCTCCTCACCTCCTTTGCCGCCTCCTCTGGGCTCCTGACTCTTTCCGCAGCCTTTCTACTGCTACTCCTTGGCGTCTTCTTACTGCTGTCTTTC